TATATATATATATTTCATCTAGACATACTCCTTTTCAGGCTCTGTAAACTGGCATTTTCTGATGTGCATGTTGGATTAAGAAGTCCTGTTTCACTGATGACTAACAACTACCACTGCTGTCACCTTTCTAAAGAGGGCAATTTGCTTTCATAAATCAGTCTAGACCTGTCTCCCTCAAATCCCATGTAACTACAGAGTTGTGTGTGTTTTCCAGCTAACTGGCAGACATTAACATACTGCCAGATTCTAGGAAGGGTTTTGGTTGTGAAAATGTGACTGTTCTGTGGGGACGGCTCCAGATTAGTCAGGCAGACACATTAGACAAAGGTACAAAATGGGGTATAATTCAAGGAGAGAAAAGATTGCTCACAAGCATTAAATTAGTAACTAATAGGATAAAGCATTATCTGGTGCTCCAGAAACATTCCCCAAACTCCTTGATTTGCTTAGCCTGTGCTTATGCCAAGAAAGGTTTGGAGAGAAGCCAAACTCAACTTGAGAGGTCAAGACAGAATGAACTTTAATAGAAATGTGGGTCACATCAGTACCTCAGCAAGAGATAAGGAACAAATTTGATTATATCCAGGCAGTTTAGCAGAAGTGTCATGTATCCGGCCAAGTCTGGGCTGATTTTTTCAAGGGAGTTAGAAGAAAATCTGCTCTGAGACACTGGTTTAGTTTTGATATCGCATCCACATCATCAGGGCTTTGGAAAGCAGCCTCAGTCCTTTCCACAGTTGAACAATTTGCTCCAAATATCAACAATTCACCCAGGGAATGAGAACTATAATTTTGGCACATTTTCAGCAATACTTCTCCTTAGAACTTAGAAATATCAGAAGAAAACATAACATGAGTTTTTTTGGTGAACTGACGAAAGCAGTTAAAAGTGGAAAAGGGGACAAATTTATCCCAAATCTAACTCCAGTGAAACACAAATTATATAGGGGGGATATTGCCATACACTGAATAATAAATAAAATGGTATATGCAGCAGTAAATTAAAATCAAAATGTAGAAAATGGGAGTTATAATTAAATGTATTGAGACTCTCTTGTTTAAAGTAAGTTGACGCCAAATAGATGCAGTAAGGCTAAGAAAGCCTTAAAAATTAAAGAGCAGAAAAAAAATAGCCACTGGTAGTGACATTGGCTACTTTTTAATCTTAAGTGGCTCAGAAGGTTTCAAACTAAATGTTCGGCTTTCCAGAAGAAACCACCAGTGTTATCACTGAGTAATCATCACAGAACTTCAGTCTATATGGGAAATCTGCTGGGCAGAGCTTGGCTTCAGTTCTCTGTGTGAGGGTACAAAGCAGCTGTCCATGAGCTACTACCCATGCTCCTGGAGAGCAACAGAAACAGAGAAATGAAACTGAAAGTATGTGTGCAACCAGAGCGCGCAAGAAAAAATTGTCTGAGGTGAGGATCTACATGTCCAAATACCTGCCAGGAAGTGGCAATACCTACTTTACTATGGAAATAAAGATTTTAAAGGGAGTTAAATAAAACACTGAAGCTGTGTGGAAGTTATTTTCCTTGATATCTAGAATATTACAAGATGTCTGCACCCTCACTGCCTAAATAAATGTCTTGCAAATTAAAACGAGATTATTGGAAAATCCTGCATAAAACAACAGTCAAACAGAAGTAGAAAATTTAGCAATAAGGAAAATCATGTCTTTAAATAGAACAATTGTTTTTAAGAGCGGAAAGTTAGACGTTAATGCTGTAGGAATGAGGAAGAAGAAACAGATTTACAAATCCCAAGTGATTCCTAACATTCCCCTTTCAGCAGTTTATAATAAATCTGTTGTCAGCTAAAAATTACTGCATATGGGCATCAAATTCATGAACACCTTCAGTGTGTTCTGTGCCTTGCACAGATCTGTATTTGAAGGATAAGCTTTTCCAGTTGTGGAAGAGCTATGGACCGGGCTATTCAGATGTCAGCAAAGCTAACAAAAGCCTCTTAATGTATTGATAAATGTTTCACAACACATCACATTGTCATGAAAGAATGAATCTGAGACCAGCCAAATGTAAGAAATTATGCTGCTTGGCAAGGTGCGTGGTCATAATGAGACAGCAGCACATCACAAGACACAGCATTTAAAGTTAGTACAGATAAAGTTCTCCTTAAGGCAAGAAGGTCAACCATAAAGGTGATATTTGTGCTCAAAATATCGATTTCATTCTTGACAGTACCTTGATTTCCAAAGCTGGTATCAACACCAGAGCCATCCCACGACTCTACTGCGCTGTCAACGCTTGGGACTGTAGCGGAATAGATGTCTGAGAGTTTGCCAGATTTCTGTGCAGCAGAGGTTTCATCTTCAGCATCACTCAGTTCACTTATGTGACCCACAGAAACAGAAAATTTCTTGGGACTGGTAGCTGAATAGGATTAAAAAAAAAAAAAGAGGTGTTGGTCACTGCTTTACTGAAGTTCTAAGAATATACTCATTAGTTCTGACATGATGTTTTTCCAGGGGTGGCCTAAATGCCTGTTAATCTGTAACAACACACACATTAAACCACTGATGCTACCCTTGGCCATACTCACCATCTGTCTGCTTCTTAATTTTCAAGGTGACAGTTTCTCCTGCCATCTGTAATAAATGAATGGCTTCACTCAAAGGTTTTCCTTTCAGGCTGCTGCTATTTATTGCTAGGATTCTGTCTCCTATGTGAATAGCCCCAGTCCTACAATAAGAGGGAGAAGTAAAACATTGAGGAGAGAGCATAAAAAGCAACAAAGGCAACTTCTTTGCATATTTAGAAGCAGGAAAATCCCATCTCCCTTTCTTTCTTTAATTCTGCTTTCATAGCTGTGTTACAGAGCAATTCTTTTTTCAGAAATGCTTAAAGTAAGCCACCTTTGTTGTAGTGACAATAGCAGAGCTGAGGCATGGAGATGTGGATTTCTGTGTTACTGCAGTAGTCGTGTTAATTGCCTGTGGATGATGCTTATTCTCAGACAGCTCAGTAAGTTCTGAAACACCAGGCTTCTAGAGGTCTCACTACATAACACACAATGGCAGTGTGACCCAGTAACCAGCTATTTCACCAACATGGCTTTCAGGGTGGATCATATCAGGAGAAGAAACCAAATTCTCTTTGTGTAAATGCGCTGTTATGGCTGTGTGCAGGATCATGTTTTGTGTGCTCCAAGTTCTCTCTGAAACCACCACCAAAGGCACCAGTTTCATTGACTCTATCTATCTTAGAAATAATAGGGAATAGAAAACTTTAGCATTTTTATTATTCTTCATCCATCAATTACCATAAGGAGTGTTTCTACTCCTTGGAAAATGCTTGCTGAGGTGTATGTAAGTGCACATACAGATGCAGTGTTTCTATAGGATGTGGCAGATAAGTAGATGATGAGTTCAGAAAAAATTAAAACACATGAAGTGCTTTCCTTATCTATTGTACTATACAAGGCGATTGCTCTTAAAAGGCTGCTAAGATGTTCCTGTGACTGAGCAGTTGGATTCATTAATCCTTCCTAGGTGATTTATAATAAGGACCACAACACATTGTCTTGTGTAATATGTGCAAGAACACTGTTAAGATACTACTCATGCTCCTGAACTTGGCAGTGATCAAAAAACATCAGAAAGATTATAAACTCAGATTTGGAGAATTATAAAAAAAAAATAAATTGCTAAACCATGAAAATTAACATCTTCAGGTAAACAAAATAAATCTTTACCTCGACAAAAAGAACACTTAAAAATATTTTGCTTTCCAGTTTACCTTTCAGCTAATCCTCCTTTTGTAAGGCTGGAAATGATTATGGGATCAAAGGGCTCTTCAGTACCAGAGATTGTAATTCCAAGAGGCCCACCATAGCGCTTGAGCTCTACTGTGTAAATAATTGCTCCAGAGCTCTCCTGTTCATCTGCAATAAATGCCAAGGGGATGCAATTGGTTTCTTATGAAAGAAGGAATGGAAAAAATAGCACATTCAGTCTAGTGACTGGCAATCAAACAACGTTTTTCAAAGGATTACATTTCAGATACACTCTTAATCATATTCTACTGGATTATTTTGGAAAAAAACCTCCAGAGTCTCTTGTGCAATTTTTTTTTCATTGCCAAAACCTAATATATTGAAGTCAACAGAAAACCTCCCCTCATTCTCTGAAGACTAAATTTTACTCCATCTTAAACCTTTCTATCTGCTTTCCTATTAAAATATAACTTCAGGATCTTTTGTTTCAGAATCACAGAACTGTTGAGGTTGGAAAAGGCCTCTGGAGATCATCTTGTCCAATTTCCTGCCCAAGCAGGGCCATGAGGATCTGGTTGCCCAGGACTTTGTCCTGTTGGCTTCTGAGTATCTAGAAGGAGGGAGACTTCACAGCCTCTCTGGACAACCTGCGCCAGTTCTTGGTTACACTCACAGTGAAAAAAATGTTTCCCAATGTTCAGGAGGAACCTCCTATGCTTCAGTTCATGCCCATGTCTCTTGTCCTGTCACTGGGTACCAATGAAGAGAGCTTGGCTCCACTTGCTTTACATCCTCCCTTCAGATATTTATATACATTGATAAGATCTCCTCAAGCCTTCTCTTCTCCAGGCTGAACAGTCCCAGCTCTCTCAGCCTTTCCCCACAGAAGAGATGCTCCAGTCCCTTAATCCCCTTTGTGGCCCTTTTGCTGGACCTGATCCACTATGTCCATGTCTCTCTTGTACTCGGGAGCCCAGGTATGGATGCAGCACTCCAGAAATCTCTCACCAGGGCTGACTAGAAGCGGAGGATCACCTCTCTGGACCTGCTGGCAGTGCTCTGCCTGAGGCAGCCCAGGAGGCTGTTTGCCATCTTTGCTGCAAGGGCACGTTGTTAGAGAAAAGATAAGTCACTACTATTGTATAAATATTGGTACTCATCTGTTTCCTGAACTAAATGGAAGGTGTTTAGAATCAAAGATAATTAAAAAGTTTTAAAACCAAACTTTCTTAAAAGAATTGTGGGAAAAAATCCAAAGTCATGGTAAGATGAGCAGCTATCTTAGTAAGAGAACCTGAAATATATCCCATGTTTTTGATGGATAAATTTAAGACTTTTGTAAGAGAATAAAAATTAGCTTCTGAATTCTGAATTATCAACTAAGTTGAATAATAACTCCACTAGACTTGACCTCATTATGAAGTAATTTGCATTATTTTGAAATTTTAGTCACACCAAACAATCACCCTAAATAGAGAATTAATCCCTGTGTAAGCTTAAATACACTGCATTTTCTTTAAATAATACCCAACAGGTGTTGAAGCAACAAAAAAAAAAAGCTCCTGTATTTATATAGTGCATGGTCTTTATATGTTATCAAAAAATATCACATCCGGGGAGCAATCATCTGCAGAATCTTTGAGTTGTGAAGGGATATTTTAAAATTTCAAATGCCAGATTTCTCCTCGGATCAAAATAACAAACACTGCCTTGCCCATCTTATGACATTTGTATTCAGCCAGGATGTCTGGCCTAGTGGGCAACTCTTCCTACATGTGTGGGTAATGACATTTGGAACGGTTCAGCGAGTGGGGAAAATGTCTAGGACGCACATTCCGAAAACGTTACTGGAACTAACCTGGGACGAGTTTGATAATTCAAATGTTCCCATTTTTGTTCCTGTAGATAGAAAAACTTTAATGGAAAAAAAAAGATACCTGCATTGCTAGCAAAGGTTTGAGGAGTTGCTTTCTTCTAGTGCTGAACATGGCACTTAAGCAGAGCTGGAGAAACACTACAATCTTTGGGGCTAGTTTACTTCTTCCCAATTTGCAGAAAATGTAGGACTTCAGCTTCCCTCCACCCCAGCTCCCTCCTGCTTCCCCCTCGCTATCCATATAAAGAAAATGGTGCACATATAGAATCAAAAGAGAGAAGAATTAGTGGTGTTTATTCAACAAAGAATACTGGAATTTTCATGCCTAGTGTTGGCGTGACGTATTACTTGGGGCATTATCATCAGTGTTTTGGCACAGTTCATATCAACTACACTTCATCTGACATGCTTTTTTCAGAAGCACCCAGATTCCAAGACCCCACTGGAAGCCTCTGGCCAGCATACAGTAGGTTATCAGGTAAGCTGCCACTGCACTGCAAAAGAGTGGCAGTTTTTCCTTGCTTGCTAGAGCATTTATAGAACAACAACAAATCCTCTGGGATCTGATGCTGACAATATTTACACAGGTGTTGCACTGACATGGCACAAGACTTCAAGTGAAGGATGAAAAGTAATTCACCAAGCTAATTGAAAATGTAATAGCCAGTATTTGCTAAGGGTCAACACAATACTGATGTTTCTCTGCTATCAACAGTAAGTGAATAAGAAGTTATTAATCATAGAGCAACCCTGCCACATGAGGGCTGGAAGTTTATAGACCTTAGTGAATGTCTGGAAAGGAGATTGGTCCATTATGTCTGCCTTCTGGTTAGCCCTAGTTAAGAAAATTAATGGCAGAATGCAACAAATGTTGAATTGCTACACCATTCCCTTTAGTGCTCCATCTAGGCAGCAGAAATGGGAGCTATCCAAGAACATGGCATCCACATAGCCTGAATTCACAACGAAGGGCAGTTTTGTCATGAAAGCAGAGAATTTTGATATTCACAAAAGGGTGGCAGCCATTAGGTTAATCAGGGATAAAACTGTCCTCAGTTTGGGAAGCTGGCAGGAAAAAAAAGAAAAGAGAAAAACTGCTGAAAACATCTGGGGAGGAAATATAATCAAACTACCATGGTTCTGGGACCCATAGTTTTGAGGTTTTCCTTTCTTTCCTTGTGATGCAATTACGGATAGCTCGTGAAAACCATATTTAATGAAAGTAGACCCTCTGTGCTGCAGCCCCTCTGCTCTGTCCACTAGTGTCTTGTTCTTCATAGTAACATCTCATCAATACAGACAAAAGAGCAAAGAAGAGCATGAACTATGGAAGCACATGACACATACTACTATCCTGCTGCTGGCCCCATTGGCATGGTTGGCTCTAAGGAACACAGCGTGGAGGCACATACAACTGTCTGGAGAAGGAAGGAGTGAGAAAGACAGCAGAGGAAGAAAAAACAGAAGGCAGAAAAAAGAGCTAGAAGCTAGAAAAAATAGAATACTTATATTCATTAAAAACGAATATAAAAAGAAAGAATTTGAAAGACAGCAAGGAAATGAGAACTTAGCGAGGAAGAACAATTGCTCCCTGACTTCCTCTCCTCCAAAAAAGCATGAAATGAGAAATTAAAAAAAGTTCCAATCTTAATCTCACCCTGTGGTTTAGAAATTGTTCTGGAGTGCTGCACACCTATTCATCTATTGGCATGAGGCTTTTATTTTCTTCAGGAATTTATTAATTTTTTTTTTCTGTTGAGTTATGGAAGTACACTTAGTCCCTTTGTAAGAAAACAGACTTTCATAAATAAAGAGATGGGAAATAAACAAAAATTTATTTTAATTGAAGCACAGATTTTGCTACATCTTTGCTACTGTTTTGGCACTTTTTTGTCTTTAGCATTTCAGGAGACACTCATTCATTTTAGATTTCAAAGCACCTGGAATCTGCTATAAATACTTTCAATTACACTTAGACACTTAGTCAACTGTTACCAGAACAATTTGTATAGAGAATTTTGTTCAGTAGGTCTCTGAGTAGCTGTCCATTTACATTTCAGTCTGTTCAGTTATACTGATTACGTCAGGATAGGACACAATTCTCACAACAATAGTTGTGGGAATCTTGATGTAGATAATATGACGTAACTGAAAAATAAAAACAATGTGACTGCACCTTGAGTTCTGTGTCCAGTTCTGGGCACCACAGGATAAGAAGGACATGGAGGTGTTTGAGCGGGTCCAGAGAAGGACAACGAGGCTGGTGAGAGGGCTGGAAAACATGCCTTATGAAGTCTGGATGAGGGAACTGGGGTTGTTTAGTCTGGAGAAGAGGAGACTGAGCGGAGACCTTACTGCTCTCTACAGCTACCTGAAAGGAGGTTCTAGTGAGGCTGGTGTTGGTCTCTTCTCCCAAATTACTGATGATAGGACATGAGGAAATGGCCTCAAGTTGCACCAGGGGAGGTTTTGATTGGATATTAGAAGAATTTCTTCACTGAGAGAGTGGTTAGACACTGGAACAGGCTGCCAAGGGATGTGGTGGAGTCATCATCCCTGGAGTGTTCAAAAAATGAGTAGATGTGGCACTTGAGGCTATAATCTAGTGGTTAGGGAAATTAGGAGGAAGGTTAGACTTGATGATCCTGGAGGTCCTTTCCAACCATGGTGATTCTATGAGTCTACAATGTGTGAAGGAAAAAACATGGAATAAAAATCCCACTCAGACTAAAATCTGTACCAGCTACCATAGTATGCAATGCCTAAGAAAGCAAAGATGTTATTTCACAGGGGCAGAGACTAAAATCCACATTTCAGTGACAGAAACAGAGAACGTATGTACCAACATCAATGGAAATGGAAGCTTCCAATGGAAGATTAAGTCCACAAGCTGAGAGGGAGACAAGGGGAGGATCTTCTGCTGACTGCTTGCCCAGCATGGAAGGATAGCATCATTAATGGGCAAACCATGAGCCAGATCCCTCCCTCTGGTTTTAGATTATATGCCAGAGATCCAAGGTGGCTCACCACTGGAAGAATGAATAGACCAATCTATTCACTCACGACACATAACATAGCAAAGAACGAAGCAAGTCGATTCCAAAACCATTGTAGGTAGAAGGACCCAGGCCAATCCAAATCACACAGTAATTGCCAGGAGAAAGCCTCATAATTCCCTTCCTGCCTCAATCCTGTCCCAGTGTTACTGGGAACTCTACTTGCTGTGAAGACTCAGGGAGCCCTTCCAATAACCAGAATCCTCGCACAGCACATCCACTGTGCAAACAGACCTCCCAACCCCACTGCAAGCAGAGTCAGCTCTCATAGAGGTGGCTTCCTGCCCTGCCTTCAAGTTAATGTGGAAGGTGGGGGCACCTGGTGGTGATCTCCTAATCAGTTCCCACCCAAGGCTGGCCAGACCCTGGGTGAAAACCAATCAGGAGGGTCTTTCTTGCCTGGTTGTGGACATCATCCATATGCCAACCCTCATTTGGGGCTGGGGGTTTAACCCCAGCACTTTAGGGAACATTATGCCACACACAGGACAAACCCACAAGTGTTTCAAAGTGTGGGAGAATTTGTTTCTTCTTTTATGTGGCTTTGACACAAACCCCTCTTTTATTGTCTGTTGGTAATTCCTCTGCAGGGTTATTAATGAGAGGGAGTCTCCCAAACGAGAGGAAAAAGGTGAGGGAGGGATCCTAGGTGCCATAAGCACTTAAAAGACAAACTCTCTCTTGTGCAGGAATAAACTCAAACTTCCTTCTACAGGCATTTTTCCTTTCAATCTTCTGCCAAGGGTAACTGCAGTTTTCTCTTCCTAACATACCTGGTTTGCTCAGTTTTGCAAAACCACTGTCAGTCAGGTGTCCCTTTGGAGGTACAGCCCATGGCCAGTTTAGCCAGCCTTTGTCCAATATGGACCAACTATGTGTAGCAAATTCCACCTCACCACCTTAGGGGACCCAACCACAACATCCTGATGAGCAGCAGCCATTCACTTTGCTGGATCAAAATTTACTTCTGAAAGCCAATTTGCATTGTAATTTGTACAATTTGCTTCTCCCTTTGCTTTGTACTGATCATACTGAGAAGATAATTTCTGTTTGCTTTCAAAAGCAATTAAAAGAAAAGAGCATTCTAGTGCAATTCTAAACATCACTTCAATAGTTGCACTTGATTTTAAATTTACTATTTAAAATAGCAGTGTGGTAGGCTGTGCCTTTTTCCTGTTTAAGACAAGTGAATCTACAGTTCATGCTTTTGTGTAATGCTGTAATATAAACCCCAGCAGTAATGGTAGTTGTAATTGTCACTTTGCCACTAGAGTACATAACAGAACTCACTTTATTAACTCCAGGTAGAAATTTTGCTGTTATAGAATCCATAATGGGGAATATTACAGATGGAGGTGTGCAAAATAATGGCAGCTCCATTACTTCCACTGTGTGGTCAGACATGGCTCCTCCATCAGCCATCCAGAACAGCGTGTGAAGTACTACTTACCTTTAAACATGTGAACAGTCATATTAAAGTCAAGTTTGCAAGCTTATGGATAAAGTGCACTTCACCACTCTGCTGGAGAACTGAGGCCTATGGATCCATGTTTTGCTAATCATGATTTCCATCTTTAAAGCAGAGAAAATCTCAATATACTGATAAGAGAAAGATCAAGCTTATACAGCTGCACCTGAGGGGAATTTGTCTTTCCAGAAAACTGAAGAACTCATTTTGCAGTGCAGATCCTACAGGCAATATAGCCACTGAGAAAATTCAAAACTTTATACGCCATTAAAATTCTTTTCAGTGTGACATTTTCTGATTAGGTTTAGCATACATCAACCGTGTTTAGAGAAAACATTTCACTAAAATGTAAATGCAAAAGCATAGCCCTACATTCTAAAAGGCCCCAAAATATACAAGAATCTGTAATAGGCTCATTGCTAATACCTGAATTATCTTCATCTTTGCGGATCTTCAACTTCACAAGGTCTTCACAGTGTTGAAGGATCTGGACAGCGTCTTCCATTGAGCAATTGTCAAGTCGAATGTTATCTATTGCAAGCAACTTATCACCCAGTTCAAGTGTCCCAGTTCTGTGAACAAGCAAACAAGCTTACATGAAATTCTAGTAACATTAGAGCAACGTGTCTTAGAAGGTATGACCATTATGGCTCAATGGTTGGATTTGATGATCTTAAAGGTCTCTTCCAACCTAAAGGATTCTATGATTCTATGATTATTATGAAGCAAGATGGATTTTTAAAAGCATTTATTTCTTAATACACTGCACTTTTCATTTGTAATTGCTTTTTACAAAACAAAACCAAAACTGCATAGTTTCGTACAAGCTCCCTTTGTTTAACTTGCACCTGGGTGGCTACACAATGGAAACAGATTTCTACTGGGAGCTTGAATATCTTACCTGTGAGCAACACTTCCTTTCTTGATATCAGATATAACCAGAGGGTCGCCTGGTTTTCTACTGGATGGAGCTGTAATAAAGAATAAATACAAGTATCTCGTTTTATTTCTAAAAATGCAGATGGGATAATCCTGTCCCTAAATCAGTACCTCACAGACGTTATTTACTTGTATCATACTCCTTCCCTTCCCTTAAATTACATGTACAGGAGTACAAACAATCATCAGCAGCATATTAGTAAGACTGCATACTCCTCCAAAACTAGAAAATGCCAGAATTAAGGTGACTGGTGCAAAGTGAAATTAACCTGGTATGCTTTTATTCTGAACCACACAAAGATACCACAGCAGAGCTCCAGTGATCTGCCATAAAATGATGTATAGCTACAGCACATAAGGAAGACTTTCTGTTAGTAGAACCTTTCAGCACAACTAATGCTGGTCTTTTGCCAGAATATTTCTGTCAGTCATAAATCATATTTTATCACTGACCAACTGAGGTGCTCTGGCAAAATATCCAGAGTGGGCTAGCCCACATTCTTTACATCCACTCCTGCCTCGTTCAGTGCTTAAAGCAGAGGTATGAAGATAACGCTTCCTGGGTGAGAAGGGAGAATCTACTTCACAATAAACAAGATGCTGTGGGTAGTGGCCCCATGTACCATTGGGCTGATACACAGTAATCACATCTGCAAAGATGTAGCTTACATCACACAGATGCTTGCTTCACTGTGACTCGCTGCTTCCTCTGAAGGAAACGTGCCTTTTTTGATGAGTAACCTTGCTCCTCTATACTGCTGCTGGACCTTGAGCATCATGGACTTTCCACCACTTTGTCCTGTGGATACCTACTAGAAGCCCTGCAAGTCCAGCAGTGGTCAAATTAGTAAATCCCCCAGCAGTCCTCTCCTTGCACTGAAGGTCTGACATGGTAAGCAGTGGGGTCAGAACTTGAGGGTGATGAAAGATAAATTTTTAGACAACACTGTGGGACCTGCTCTCTGCCATCGGGAAGCATACCACCTACAGCTGCTTTGGCCAGGAGGCAGTCCATGTTGTGAACACACACCCCCTTTTGGGACTGTTAATGAAGAGTGTGCTAATACTAAAACACTGCCATGTGGTACAAGCCTCTCAGTTCCCCTGGAAGCGCTGACGGTTTCTGCACATGTAGGGCTCTTCAACTACCCCAAGCCATTTCTGTCCTGTCTACTGAGGCCTCTTCATTCATTCACAGAAGGCACTTTTCCATTAGGCTCCAGTGCCTAACTATCACCCAAAAAGCTACCCGTATTGAAGGATCACCTACAAAATCCTGATGTCAGTTACTTTAGCAGCTCATGATTCTTCTCTTTGATGGAAAATGACAGGTCTTTACCTACAGCAACCACAAGGTGCATTAATAATGACATTTCCAACACAATATTCTAACAGATCTTGTTAACCTTGTCTGCCCTGGCCTTCAAATGTCCAAAGGAACTGTTTAAGAACTGCTTGATAGCTGTATTTCAAATGCAGCATCTTGAAAGTCCAGAAGACGGATGCACAAGGACTTTTAAGAATTTTTAGAAACTTGTGTAAAACACCACACTTTCAGAAAATGCCTGTGTTGCAATTTAGAGAACAGCAATTAACTTTTTGCAAGGTGTGTAATTTTCATAGCTTCTTTCTCATACTTTCACGCTGTGGGTCAATTATATCTTAATATGACAGTTCCATGATTTACTTGAATTCTCTAGGTCTGCTTCACCAATTAGTTTCTTGTTAAAATTTTAAAGTATCCCTTTAGTGAACTATTATTTTTTTTTTAATTCTATGTTTTTACCTGATGGGTTTCCTTATGAATCTCTGAGGTCATATGCCACCCACTGTACGTCTGCAGTTTGAGATTTGGGTATTGAGATAGTTTTTACGAAACTGCTTTATAAGATTAATCACTACTAAAGAAAACTGTTAATATTGTTCCAAAAAGAAGACAGAAGGAACCAAAACAAGGTTTAAAGAGCACAGTTCACAGTGCGAAACCACAGAGTACATGTGGATACAAAGGGCATGATATTGCACACAAAGTTATTGCGGTTTCAAACGTTAAGTTTGAACCAGCAGTATATTTTCAGCTTGTAAAGAGAACGCAGCTAACGACAAAGTCCCAGTCGCCAAGTACACCATGCAGCTGTATGCCTGGAAGCATGAAACTCAGCACTGGTGAGGTGCTAAGCGCTGGGTGACTGTGGCAACCATCACCAGCTCGATATCTGGTGTTATCTGGGTGCCCGGAGGAGTGTGAAACGGCCTCATG